TGTGTTGGGCAAGTTATAGGGTATCGTAGTTTTGTGTTGGGCAAGTTATAGGGTATCGTAGTTTTGTGTTGGGCAAGTTATAGGGTATCGTAGTTTTGTGTTGGGCAAGTTATAGGGTATCGTAGTTTTGTGTTGGGCAAGTTATAGGGTATCGTAGTTTTGTGTTGGGCAAGTTATAGGGTATCGTAGTTTTGTGTTGGGCAAGTTATAGGGTATCGTAGTTTTGTGTTGGGCAAGTTATAGGGTATCGTAGTTTTGTGTTAAATTTATTTCTTTATCTTACGTGTTCTCCTAACACCATGAGTATAATTTTCATGTGTTAGATATAATAATTATACATCTAAAAAGCAGTTTTCAGACTGACACATTTGTGACACGTTTCTTGGTTAATACTATACTAAAAGTACTTTACAGAATTCGGAGTCACGTGGCATACACATTTTTACTGTGTGTGCACGTGGTTGTTATTCAAGGCCTGTAACCTTGTGAGTAAAGAAGAAAATGAATTTAATCCTTCCTCCTGAGAATACCTAAGTGATGTATAAGTTTGGTCGATTACAATCCTTGGCTCTTTTCATACGTTTAGTTTCAAGCGAAAAACAAGACTTTGTTATCTGACCTCGATCCGCCCGCAAATCCTAGAGAAATGTAGCTTTAGGGCATTTTCTGGATTTAAAAAATTCCTTTCTCCTGTCTCACCTCTCGATTACATGACCGCATAGCTGATAATATTTCTCTACACGTTTTCAAGTTATTAAATATTCACTTATTTCTCAGCTTTTTATATATACGAATATGGTGAACTGGAGGTGGTTGTTTTCCTTCAGTCATACAATTATTTTACTTTGCTCTTACATTCATAACACGATTGTCATAAAGATTTAAATGTAAGTTGAGAAAGAGCGGTCAATTAAAAGTGAAATACAAATGATTAAGTGAAAAGCAACTTGTAGATATTAACAAACAACAAATGTGAAACCAGTTTGTAACCATGCGCTTAATAGTTGTTAGATTAACTTAATAGTTGTTAAATCAACTAACACTTATACTTTAGTTATTGTACCTTAAAATAGCTAAGCCTAATACTTTTACATATCTTAGATCATCTTAGCCTAATACTTTAATTATAAATACCTTAGATCAGCTAAGCCTAATACTTTTACATATCTTAGATCATCTTAGCCTAATACTTTAATTATAAATACCTTAGATCAGCTAAACCTAATACTTTTACATATCTTAGATCATCTTAGCCTAATACTTTAATTATAAATACCTTAGATCAGCTAAGCCTAATACTTTTACATATCTTAGATCATCTTAGCCTAATACTTTAATTATAAATACCTTAGATCAGCAAAGCTTAATACTTTTACATATCTTAGATCACCTAAACCTAATATTTTAATTATAAGTACCTTAGATTAGCTAAACCTAATTCTTATGTGGGTCATATCTTACATCAGCTAAGCCTAATATATTTTTCACTTACAGTCATCATGGAACTTGTTTCAAAACGTAATGGAACGCTTAGTAAAATAAATAAATAAATCCAGGTAAAACATGTTTATAGTCACAGTGGAGTTGCTATTTATATCACTCCATTGTAGGTATTACATCTGATCAGAGATAATTTATTTTACACAACTAGGAAGAATTCAATGCTATTACATCTGATCAGAGATAATTTATTTTACACAATTAGGAAGAATTCAATGCTATTACATCTGATCAGAGATAATTTATTTTACACAACTAGGAAGAATTCAATGCTATTACATCTGATCAGAGATAATTTATTTTACACAACTAGGAAGAATTCAATACTAGTACATCTGATCAGAGATAATTTATTTTACACAGTTAGGAAGAATTCAATGCTATTACATCTGATCAGAGATAATTTATTTTACGCAGTTAGGAAGAATTCAATGCTATTACATCTGATCAGAGATAATTTATTTTACACAATTCGGAAGAATTCAAACCTATTACATCTGATCAGAGATAATTTATTTTACACAACTCGGAAGAATTCAATACTAGTACATCTGATCAGAGATAATTTATTTTACACAACTAGGAAGAATTCAATGCTATTACATCTGATCAGAGATAATTTATTTTACACATCTAGGAATAATTCAATGCTATTACATCTGATCAGAGATAATTTATTTTACACGACTAGGAAGAATTCAATGCTATTACATCTGATCAGAGATAATTTATTTTACACAACTAGGAAGAATTCAATGCCTATAAAGTAAATATTCACATATATTTGACTCGTGTTTTATTTTCTCTAAACAACTTTTTTTTCACTTTGTAGGTTACTGACGTTATTTGATGACACTTTTTTTGTTCATCCAAAGTTTATTATGGAATTCTACTTACCATCCGACGGCCGGCGCCTTGCAGGATTTTTAGATGATTTTTCTCTTATGTCATCGACTACACCATTGGCCGAAGCTTCGGTGGGAGTTAAGAGTGATTTGGGATCTTATTCCAGCGGAAGAACATCGCCAGGTCACGACCTGGGTTATCATACCCTACTCTCTCGTCAAAATGCTCCACTGACTTCTACTCAGACTCCTGCTTCTACCCACAGATCCTTTGACGGACAAGCTCCTGTCTCTCCTAGCCTTTGGAGCTACCCTGAAAGCTGTCCATCCTCTGCACTAAGAACTCAAACTATTTTATCAGACACCGAGAAACTTCTAGCTACGTACAAAGGAAAAAAACTAACAAGGTGTTCACATTTGGACAGACTGACAGACGAACTTATACTGAAAGTATTTTCTTATTTATCTAGTAATCATTTGTGTGTGTGCGCTCGTGTTTGTCGCCGATGGTATTTTTTAGCATGGGAACCTCAACTTTGGACCTCCATAACCCTGACTAGTGAGAAAATCAACGTAGACTCTGGATTGAAGACACTTTTTCGGCTTCTGTGTCGTGACTCTCCTAGTGTTTGTCTGACAGTGGAGCGAATGTGTTTGAATGGTTGTGCACGTCTTACAGATAAGGGCGTGTGGACGATTGCCAAACGATGTCCAGAACTGAGAAGTATTGAGATCCGAGGATGTAGCAATGTGACCAATACAGGGGTCAATGATTTGGTTTCAAGATGTCTGAACCTGGAAAGGTTAGATTTGACAGGTAAGAATTTAGTTGTCACTTAAGCAATAAACGAGTTTATGGTATTTCAGAATATGTATTTGTCCAACAATACAGTTTTTGGTAATTATATCTTTTTTTCAGTCTTGTTGACTTGTATTTAAAAATCAGTTCTCCCACTTCAGTAGATTGTTTTGGTGGACATTTACTGATCGTTTTAATTATGTTTACTTGTATTTAAAAATCAGTTCTCCCAATTCAGTTGATTGTTTTGATGGACATTTACTGATCGTTTTAATGATGTTGATTTGTATTTAAAAATCAGTTCTCCCACTTCAGTTGATTGTTTTGATTGGACATTTACTGATCGTTTTAATGATGTTGATTGTATTTTCAGTTCTCCCACTTCAGTTTGGACATTTACTGATCGTTTTAATGATGTTGACTTGTATTTAAAAATCAGTTCTCCCACTTCAGTTACTTTGTTTTGATGTACAATTACTGATCGTTTTAATGATGTTAACTTGTATTTAAAATCAGTTCTCCCACTTCAGTTGGCTGCGTGTTTTAATGTCACTAACAGGTTAGAATTCCAGCGATGTGAGTCATAGCGTTGATGA